CCCCGCCCTTATCCCCTGACCTCCAGTGTCTTATGTCCATTGGTTATACTTATATGCATGCTTACAAGTCCTTTGGTTGGAAATGTTTTTCTTAATCTAGACAGGTAGAGCCTTATTTGACAAAATTATCCACCCTAATCATCTTTCAAAAAATGTACTGCTCCCTCCTGGGAGACTTTAAACAAAGGGGTATAGTTATAGTTTTACTCTAGCCTGAAATATTAAGAATATAGAACCCAGAGATATAATTGGCATTAAGGAACTCTAGCTCATGTACCTCTTTATGAATGCTTTTGGGGATAGGCAATATTGATTTCAAGATGTGATGATGATGTGATGAACCCACTGAGCATAAGCTATTTTCTGATGGGTGTGTCAGAAGCAGTGGAAAGGACATTTGTAAGCAAAGATGATCAGCAAATGTGTATTTAGTTCATCTCTAACTGCCAGCTTTGTAATTGCATGTTTTTAATCTCTACGAAGAAAACTGGCATAATCCTGTAATATTTTTCAAGTTTAAGAATGTCTCATTTTGTCTTCTTCCCTTTCCACTTTTTTTTACTTGGATTGTTGGTTAAATTGGATTATTTTATTTTGACAGATAAACATTGTACATATTTAAGGTGCACAACGTGGTTTTGATATATGTGTAAACTGTGAAATGATAAGTGTGATCAAACTAACATATCCATCGGCTCCTATAGTTTCCACTTTTTTTGTGTGTGGTGAGAACACGAGATCTACTCTCTTAGCAAATTTCAAGTATACAATACATTATTATTAACTACTAGAGGCCCAGTGCATGAAGTTCACGCACTCTGGGGGGTCCCTCAGCCCGGCCTGCGCCCTCTCACAGTCCAGAAGCCCTCGAGGGATGTTTGAATGCTGGCTTAGGCCTGCTCCCTGTGAAAGGCTCCCGCCATCACTGCTGCGCTTGCCAGCTGTGAGCCCAGCTCTGGCTAAGCGGTGCTCCCTCTGTGAGAGTGCACTGACCACCAAGGGCATCTCCTGCAATGAGCGACTGCCGCCTGGTGGTCAGTGCATGTGATAGTGACCAGTCGTTCTGCTGTTCAGTCAATTTACATATTAGCCTTTTATTATATAGGATAGTCACTATTTTATACTGTCATTATATTTCCGCTCTCTGTTACTATGAGAGTTCGACCTTTTTAAAAAGATTACAAGTATAGCCTGGCCAGCATGCCTCAGTGGTTGAGGGTCGACCTATGAACCAGGAGGTCACAATTCGGTTCCTGGCCACATGTCCGGGTTGTGGGCTTGATCCCTAGTGTGGGGCCTGCAGGAGGCAGCCGGTCAATGATTCTCTCATTATTGATGTTTCTATCTCTCTCTCCCTCTCCTTTCCTCTATGAAATCAATAAAAATATATTGAAAAGATTACAAATGTAAGTGAGATCATACAGTATTTGTCTTCTGTATCTGGCTTATTTCATTTAGCATGTCTTCCAAGTTCAACCCTGTCATTGCAAATTTCAGGATTTCCTTTTTTTTAAAGGCTGAATAAAATTCCATTGTGTTATGTGTATTTTTCTTCATGCATTCATGTCTATGGACACTTAAGTTATTTCCATATTATGACTACTGTCAATAATGCTACAATGAACATAGGAATGTAGGTACTTCTTAGACATGGTGATTTAGAATTTTTATTTGTTGATTATTAGAGAGAGAGAAATGTGGGTTTGTTGTTCTACTTATTTATGCATTCATTGATTGCTTTCTTGTATGTGCCCTGACTTGGGGATTGAACCCACAGTCTTGGCACATCAGGACAATGCTCCAACCAACTTAGCCACCTGGCCAGGGAAAGATAGTGATTTTATTTCCTTTAGGTACATACTACATACTACAAAGTGGGATTGCTGGATCATATGGTAGCTCTATTTTTAATTTTTGAGGAATCTCCAAACTGTTTTCTATAATGGCTATACCAATTTATATTCCCACCAATAGTATGCCAAGGTTGAGTTCTCTTTCTCCACATTCTTTCCCATATTTATTACTTTTCAACTTCTTTAAAAAATATATTTTTATTGATTTCAGAGAGGAAGGGAAAGGGAAAGTGAGATAGAAACATCAATGATGAGAGAGGATCATTGATTGGCTGCCTCCTGCATGCCCCCTATTGGGGATCAAGCCCACAATCCAGGTATGTGCCCTTGACCGGAATCAAACCTGGGACCCTTTGGTCTGCAGGTTGACACACTATCCACTGAGCCAAACCAGCTAGGGCTACTTTTTAACATTTTGATAATAGGAATGCATTGATAACTCGTTGTGATTTTAATTTGCATTTCCCTGATGATTATTGATGCTGAGCATCTTTTCATTTACCTGTTGGCCATTTGTATGTCTTCTTTGGAAAAATATCTGTTCAGGTGTGTCTGTATTTTATATTTTAAGATACCTTAAACACATTTTGAAAATGCAACAGATACAAACATATACATACTAAACAGGGCTGGAGGGTTTTGGCACAGTAGGAGGAAATATTAATGGAAATGTGCATTGCATTATGATTCAGTCTTATCACCTAAAAAATTAACAAGCATGTTAAAAAACTTAGTAAAATGATCCTTTTAATAAGTACTTAAATTAATCACATATTGAACATCTAGGTACAATGAATTATACCAATATTGAGAATGGGAAGAAGAAAACAATTTTTTTCTTTGGCCTTAAGGAATCTAGTAAAGGAGATTCACTTGATTTCCCAGACAAACAAAGCTAATACTTCATCCATTAGGCTCTCATTGCACCTATCTCTATTACAGCACATATTATAATTATTTCTTTAGGGATCCATGTCCTCTTTTTGTTTTTGTTTTTTGTTTTTTTTTGTTGTTGTTGTTTTAAATATATTTTATTGATTTTTTACAGAGAGGAAGGGAGAGAGATAGAGAGTCAGAAACATCGATGAGAGAGAGACATCGATCAGCCGCCTCCTGCACACCTCCCACTGGGGATGTACCCGCAACCCAGGTACATGCCCTTGACCGGAATCGATCCTGGGACCTTTCAGTCCGCAGGCCGATGCTCTATCCACTGAGCCAAACCGGTTTTGGCCATGTCCTCTTTTTGAATAAAAACTCGACAGTAGGCCAACTGACTATCTTATTCATTTTTATATTCTCAGTGTCTCATTAATAGTGGCCCAGGCACAGTAGGTATTTAATCAAAGCTTGATGTTGATGTAATGCATGGATTATGCAACTCAAACTAACTTAAAAAATGAGGAAGTGTGTTGTTCACATAAGAGGAATGCTAGTGGCTGTGTGGATCCAGTGGTTTCATTATGTCATCATAGAGGTTTTTTATATTGCTCGGTTCTATGAGATTGGGTTGGAGAGGACAGGGGTAAAAGAGAGAGGGGTGGGGAGGAACCTGTGCTTTGTAGGAGAGATTAAAAGCTTTCTTGAAGCATCTAGAAAATCTCAACTCACATCTCATTGGTTAGAATTGGGTCATATACCATTCCTCCTCATAAAAGGAATGGGATTCCTTTTAGATCAGAATTTCTTAACCTTGACACTATTGGCATTTTGGATTGAATAATTCTTTGTTGTGGGGGAGTCCTGGCATTGTAGGATGTTTAGCAGCATCCCTGGCTTTTATTCACTAGATGCCAGTAACATTCTCTTTCCAATTGCAACAACCAAAATGATTCCAGACATTGCCAAATGTTCCCTGGGAGGCAAATTGCCCTGATTGAAAACCACTGATTTAGATAATTTAGGATTACTCCAGAAGCTGATGGTAGATCATCTCTGTGTAAGGCAGATGGGGATATATGCTTGAACCAATCAGGGTTCTCTTAGGAAGGCTAGGATAATGGATCTGGGTAGGTAACTAACAACGTTCATTACATTTGTTGAAGATAGAGGCATGACAGGTTCATTGTGCAACTAAAAATATTAATTTTTCCTCTGTCTTAAATCTTCTCAAAACCCAATTTCTTCACAGTTCAGTGAAATTAGAATCAAAACATGAACTTATGTTAAAGGGATTGGTTCTTGTCTCTTAGTAGTTTCTTACAAAATAAAACTGAGTTAGGACACATTTAGTTGGAAATTATAAAAACCCAACCCAAACTGTGTATGCAGAAGTGGAATTCACTGCCTCATAATAATGGTCAAATTTTATTAACAGGAAGTACTCTAAATACTTTCCAAATATTAAAAGATCCAACTCTCATAACAATTATTTCTATTAAGCCTTTACTATTATTTCCACAAGGAAACTAAGGCAAAGAGAGGTTAAGTAACTAGGAACCAATCCATAATGATTACAATTTATAAGTGCTGTTGGAGCCCTAAGGAACAATTGATCAGTTCTGACTTGCATATAATAATAAAATCTTATCGAGGGGGCATTTTTACTTTGCTTGGAAGGATGGTAAAACATTTATATAACTGTCATGTCATCGTACTGAAGGTGGGGAATAGAGAAAAGGATGAAATGTTCCCACACTCTGGTTAATGCTCATTTAGTGGTGTACTCTGGCAAAAGCTCTTTAGATTCCAAAAGGTAGAACTCTACTCAATTTATAAACTCCCAGTCATTTCTTCCACAGGCACTATCACAGTTTGGTTGTGGCTGGTTCAGAGTGGATTCTGATATTAGCTGCTAAGTAATTGTAGGCAGAACTCTGACTTTCAACCATCCTTGAGAAGCTTGGCTCACTGGTCTAGACTCCTGCCTTCACATTGAGTGTCTTCTAAGGCTTCTAAGTAAGTCTCCTTGTCCTCTGACCGCAGTTAGGATTAGGATCATCATACACAGTTTTGCAGGTTGTGCACTATACAACTCCAAGGGCACCATTCACAGAAACCTATTAAATGTTTGCAAGAAACCGTAAACATGATTTTTCAACCCCCAGTTTAACTCCTGAGGACTCTGAGCCCACACCAGCAGGATACAGGCTAAGAAAAATTTAAATTTCCAAGAAGGACATAGTCTCCAATATTGACTTCACATGTGGCTATGATACCATTGTAATTAACTAGTTATTAATAATAGGAAAGGAGCAAAAGGGAGGCTAGATATTATAGACATTGCCATTTGGCAGCTTCACCAGGAAGCTGCAATTTCACACTCCCAGGGAACCACCAGCCCATCCCTTGCAGATTACTGGGGGAAGGGACTGGACAAAGGAGAAGATAGGTTCATGCCCAGTAAAGTTGGGGTGACATAGGGAAGATGCTGCCAGTCAAATCGGGAAACAGAGATCATTGGCCAGAGGGGCAGGGCCAGTGCAAACTGTGAAGATTAGGAATACATAATCCCCTAGAACAGTGGTCGGCAAACTGCAGCTCGAGAGCCACATGGGGCTCTTTGGCCCCTTGAGTGTGGCTCTTCCACAAAATACCACGCGCCGGCACACACGTACAGTGCGATTGAAACTTCATGGCCCATGCGCAGAAGTCAGTATTTTGTGGAAGAGCCGCATGTGGCTCGCAAGCCGCAGTTTGCCGACCACTGCCCTAGAAGAAGCTTGGTCTCTTGGCTCTCTTGGCTCTTGGCATTCTGATTCCTTTGGCTTTGCTCCCGCCCATGTTCCCTAGCAATGCGGCCATGCGAACCCCACGCACAGTGGACTGATGGACTACAGCTGGGAGCACAAACTAAGCTAGCTGATGCTGAATTGAACTGCTCCAACATGGAGCAGAAACTCTGGACATTGGCTTTGCTCTTAGCCCTGTTGAAGGCAAAATGGGACTTTTTCCTTGGTGGGACAAAGGGAAATGGGACCTTGGAAACTCAGGGATGAAATTCTACAGGAATAAAGCTTTCTACAATACTTCATCCTCCCATGGGGCCCTCTGGAAATGCTTATTAATGTCCACTCCCACCAGTAACCAGTGTGGTTGAGGAGCTCTCCTCACCTATAACACACACAGGATAATGAGCATGAAAACATCTCCCAGAGAGCAGGGGTGATCAGGTGGACCAGCCAAGGGACTTACTCTCTGCCAGGGCAGGGAATCTTTGCAGTTCCTGCTCATTAGAATTTGACAGGGATTATGCACCAGAGCCTACTATGTATTTCCCATTTTGCCCTTTTCTGACTTGAAGGTTTTATTATGGTTATCCTGTATTTGCCACACCATTGAATATTGGAAATCTTAGTTTTTAGAGTTACTGCTCCACAAGGAGTCACTTCCAAACTTAACAGAGAGGACTGCTTAGCACTCAGTGATCTTCGACTGAGACGGATGTGGTAACTGGGTGGGATGTAGTATTGGTTCCCTGAGGGAGGAGGTGAATGTGTTCTTATGTATCAGAAGGGTATGTATTGATGCTTGAGCAGCCAGAAAGGTGGTTTCTAGAAGAGCTTCCATAATTGGCCTCTGGTATTCATTCTCTCAATCTTGCTTTTATTAATAGATCCTCCAATTTTTAGCACATTGCTATCAAGCTAAAAACAAACCATTTTTCAGTTGTCTGGTGGACCATTTGATTAAGCTCCGGCGAATAGATGTTAAAGGAGATTAATGGGGGCCTTAACAAGATATCTTCACTTATCTTTCTACCCTTTCACACAAGCTGCAAGGTGGTGTTGAACCAGCTTTGCCTGTACAGTTGAGAACTTCATTTAGTAAATTTTCTTTGCAGGGGTTGGTAAATTTTCTTAAAGGGCCTGATAGGAAGTACTTTGACTTGCAGTCCATAGAGTCTTTGTCACAACTACTCAATTCTGGCATTGTAGCCAAAAAGCATCCACAGACAAAACTTGCACAATTGAGCAAGGCTGTATTCCAATAAAACTTCATTGACAGAAACAGGCAACCAAACTACTAACCAGAGATAGTTTCTTTACCACTGCTCTCATGGAATTTCATAGGTAAAATCTGGGTCCTTGAATGACCTCATGGAAGAAAGCCACCCTGCACTTCTCATCATCTACCAACTTATGTGAAGGAGAAATAATTCTTCATTCTTATTTAAGTAACTGTTATGTTGAATTCTATTAAGGTGTACAATCAATATTTTAATACAGCTTACTTTATTGTGACAAACCCCTAAATATTTATAATCATGATCCACTGTAAATATTATTACTTTATTTTAATTACTAGTTCATTTTGTTATAAAAAGAGCAATGATAGGGAAAGTAAGTTTCTCACAATCCCATGCAAGTCTGAGGTACTAAGAAATGCTCCTATTTCCTTTGATTTTAAAGTTGCCAATTAGAAGTAGCAACTGAGGATTAAAGTTGTTTTTTTTTCGTTTTGTTTTTAAACTCAAATCATGATGAAAGTGGTTGGGAGATGTCAAATGACCTGAGTCATTCATTAGTAGTAAAGATACTATAATGAATAACGTATCATTAAATGCACATTAATTGCAGGTTCCTGCCTGCTATTCTAGTTAAACATAGATATCTTAAGGGCAACATACTTGTAAAGGAAAATCGAATATGTTGTATAATATATTCACATTTTACCCATCATTCAAGGCATTGTATGTACTATCATCACCTACTTTAATCACCTTTTAAATGAATAATCAATATGAAATTGAGAACAACAGCGAAATACTTCCTTTCATGTTGCTGACAGCCCACCACTTTCTGAAAAGCAAGGTAATCAAAACAAAATACATCTACAAAATGCAGATTCATTAACTTTGTCAATTATAATTATCACAATAAAGCTGGAAAACAAAATAATTGGTCATTTTGAAAAAGGAAAATTATACATGAAGGAGGCAGTTGAAGGGAATGGGCTATAATTATTTTTGAGAAAGTTATGGATCAGTTTTTCATATTAAAAAGCAGATCTTTATTCTTTTCTCTGTTTTGCTTTCTATCTTTAGTGAATGAAAGCTTCTGTATGTTCTCTCCTTATGTTGTTATTTCTGTAGTAAATACATTTGTTCATTTAGACATTTCAGCTTTGGCTTCATAGTTTTAAAAGTGCAAAGTGATATTTATATTACCAGTTTACAGTTTTGTAATAGTAGGTGTGGTTGCCTCGTAAAAGCTCTTTTGGTATAGCAAATGTCATGTTCCTTATGTGTGTGTTATTCTCTAAAGATATTCGAGGCAGCACCCCCAGAGACAGCTGTGACAATAATGCCCCACCATGACAACAGAGGAACAGTGCCAAAGCTCAGCAAAACAAAATTTACTTGGCAGGGGACAGAGAATAAAGGCTTTTCACAGCTCTTTGGAAATGCTAATAAGGTCTCAACCTTGAACCATGTTTGCTTTTTATCTGGGAAACCCTTTTCAGTTATGATACCATCTGTGTAAGTAGAAGGAACAGATTCCAAGTTGTAATTTTATATAGTAGCAGATTTGTGAGAAGGGCCAGCCCCAAATCCAGGTGCTTTCTTTTCACCTGGGAGAACACAGTGCATCTGGGGACATTTTAAAGCCCATAGTCACCTTCTTTGGATCCTTAAACTTACGATAGTCTCAAGCTTGGCAGGCGTCACCACCAGTGGTGGTGTGTTAAAGTGGATGAAATGCATTTGCAATGTGTAAACAGTTGACTCAGAGCTCAAGTTTTGTTCTCATGAATAGCTCTTTAAGCTTCCCTGTCCCATTTTTTTGTCCTATGTTGGATAGTTGAAGAAAAATATTATTTGATAGATCAATTTAAAGATTCACACTAAATCAACTAAACTCAGCCTTCACACCCACACTCTTTTCCAATATCTGACACTAATCTTTTAAACAGCTTGTCAGAGGAATTCTGTTTTGTGGTATGTTAAATTGGTCATGCTGTTATGTCCCAAAACACATGAACTCTTAAAGCTGGGCTGCTGGGTGGAAGCACTCCCCTCCCTTTCTCTGTCTCATCCTCATTGGAATAATTAGATGGATGGTGCCTTTCTTCTGTGATTTATCTGCGTTTTTCAATGGCATTAATCTCATAAAGAGAAGGGCCATTAGAATTCCAAAAGTGAACACTTTAAAATATCTTTTTGAAAATTTCTATTCCTTCTTTGTTATAGCTGAAAGTCTTAGAACTTTGAAGAGTTATATAAGACTAGAGGCCCGGTGCACAAAAATTTGTGCACTGGAGGGGGGTCCCTCAGCACAGCTTGCCTCCTATCACATACTGGGAGCCCTAGGGGATGTCCTACTTCCTGTTCCCTGCTCCCCTTGGGGAGCGGGTCTAAGCCACAGTCTGGCCTCCCTTTGTGGGAGTCGACTGGGCTGATCAGGGGAAGGCACCAGCCCCATCACCGCACTGTTGCAGCCACTGCCAGTCACCGCAGCCACCAAGGTGTTTTCATCAACACGGACTCCAGTCCCTTTACCATGAAAAAATGACAACTTTCTTTAGGCATTTTCAGCATGTGTCTTTCATAGGATATGACATTTCTTCCTTTCTTCTTTTCCTACCTTCCTTCCTTCCTTCCTTTCTTCCCTCCCTCCTTCCTTGCTTCCTTTGTTCTTTATCTCCCCCTGTCCTTTCTCCCTCCTTCCCTCTCTCCTTCTTGTTTTTTCCTTTCCTTCAGCACTTCATAAACATTTTAAACAACAGAAGGATCCAGGCCCCACTTTTAGCTCTATTTGATGTCTTTCTGAGACCTTCCTTTTTTTCTCCAGGAGTGTGGTAAAAAAACCCTAGATCACCTATTTAAACTCTTATTACCCAAGTTACGAAGAATTTTACCAGTGGCATACAGGGAGCTTAACCAATCAGCAGTCAGAAAAGGTGTTTCCTCTGTAGTTCACACCAATTGCTGGTTTGGCCCCTGCCCAGGCCTAAAACCTCTGGTGAGTCATTAGCTCTGGGCCAGGGCACCACCAGCTCCCTGCCGCTGCCACCATCAATGATCGCTGCCTGGCTCCTCTCTGACCCAGGCCTAAAGCCTCGGGCCGAGGTGTTAGGCCTGGGCCAGGGCACCCCCAGCTCCCAGCCACCGCCATCAACGATCGCTGGCTGGCTCCTCCCTGACCCAGGCCTAAAGCCTCAGTCCGTGGCTTGGTGCCTACATATGCAAATTAACCACCATCTTGGTTGGCAGTTAATTTGCATATTTCCCTGATTAGCCAATGGGAAGCGTGTCGGAGGTGTGGTTAATTACCATGTTTGTCTATTATCAGATAGGATAACAAAAGGCTAATATGTAAATCCACCGAACAGTGGAACTACTGGTCACTATGATGCGCACTGATCAGCAGAGGGCATACGCTCAACACAGGAGCTTTCCCCTGGTGGTTAGTGTGCTCCCACAGGGAGAGTGCTGCCCAGCCAGAAGCCAGGCTCACAGCTGGAGAGGGCAGTGGCAGTGATGGGAGCCTTTCCCACCTCCGAGGCAATGCTAAAGATGACCTGTCAGTCAGGCATCCCCTGAGGGCTCCTGGACTGTGAGAGGGCAAAAGCCAG